ACTCAACAAATTGTCTACTCATATTATTTTACGTGAATAAAACATCTAATACAAAAACGATGTGGCATGCAATTCTCGAAATAGCTAAATGAGAATATAGTGTAAAAAGAAAGAGAACAAACGTTCACATGTCAAGTTGATGTTTTGAATTAAATTTTCTTTTGAATTCACTTCATATAGATACATTTTTTGTTAATAAATTAAATATCTAAAATAGATGAAGGAGTAGAAATCGTGATTAAAAAAACAGGACTAAAAATCATCTAAAAATAGAAAAATGTGTAGAAATTGTATTTGACTTTCAATTTTATAGACTTGAAATATTTTTTCTCGAATTATTTGGCGAGTCGCAATCAATGATTGAAAATCAATGATCAAATTTGATTTATTGCAGACGTTTTCGATAATTATCAAAATGCTCACGATATCTTCACGACATAGATGACAACGACAGAGTACAGGTTTTCTTGTTATTATTTCTTCTGAAATAAAATAGACTCATTGATATACTTATTGACGAAACAATAATTGATGAGTGCTTTTTTGGCAAGTAATTACTAATGATTTGTTCAGAATCATTCTATGTCATCAAAAGCGCGTCACTTCTGGTACTTAAACGGAGATTTTCAAACAAACTTCAACCGTAAGTATTATTATATAAAAGTAAATAGTTTTTTTTTTCTTCTATTTAGATTATCTAATCGCTCATGTGTAGGTTTGTTCTCACTACCGCTGATATATCACGGTACTCATAAGAATTTCTGGTAGCGCTTATGGCTTTCGGTTCCAACTATAGAGGACTGCAGAGAGTTTTTTCTACCCAAATTTGAATTATTTTTATTAAGAAGAATCGAAATTAACCGAGAAGGAAAACAGTTTTAGAATATATTTTACTAATTAAAATTTATGTTGTAGCATCTATAGTAATGATTTCTCTCATAACTGGGCACAAATTGGGCTCTCTGACTGGTACAGACGGCTCCAAATTATCGTTGGGCATCTGAAATTAACTTAATTCTGTCAGTTTTAACAGACTTAAAAAATGCTCACCAGGCTTGGTGCGATATACAATGATAAAACACTTTTAACAAACTGCTGATGTAGTGGCGATAATTCCTCGATAGTGATTCCATGCGTTTCATGATATTAAAATGCATAATCAAAACTACATCCCTATTTTTCTCTAATTTAACCCTTTTTCACAAAAAAATAACATTCAAAAAACTAATAGAAATAGTGTATTTTGTATAGAAAAGAAACCTTTATAAAGTGAGACGTTTCGTGCCTCAAACTATTAAACGACGGAGGAGAAATTTGCAAAATATTGTCAGAATTGAAAAAGTCAATTTTTTTAGTATAACTCTAAATTTTGAAGAACTGTGAATCTTGTAATCTGTTACTAAGTGAACTAGAATTAGCTAATATTGGAATTTTCATAACTACTTTTTGCAGGCTTTTCAATCAAACAATCAAATGCCAAACTTAAAAGGTTTTCTGCAGCCGATTCCTGTTGATATTGATCCATGTTGTGGCGAATCCATTCTTAAATGATCAAGAGTCACATCTACGGAAACATAAAGTCTGTACTCTACATTTTATTCAATTAACAATGTGCATGCTGATACAACTGCTATTCTATAGGCGATCAATGTATATCAATATTATTAACATCGAATATATCATCATTCTTAATATATGTTGACACTAGACGTCCATTAACTAATACATCACGACAATCTTTTTTATAATCATCAAAACACTCGACATGCTTAATATTGACATTAGTTGTTCATCAATTGATTCAATTGAGTAATCTTTTGTTGTTGACAATTGAACATGATACTACTATACATTCTTTGTGGAGTTTATTTATGATTTTTCAGAGATGATCAAATAAATAGCTATCTTCTTGTTTTCATAATATTTCACATTCGGTAACAGTCTAGAACGTCCTTTAAAAAAATGTCCTCGTATTTCGTCTTCAGAAAAAATGTCCTTGAAAAAATGTCTTCCATATAAAAAATGTCCTTTCAGTAAAATTTTAAAAACAGTTTAGAATAATGTTGATAAAATTAATTTTATTTATAGTAACGAATCAATTTTTATTTTCATCATTAAGATTCGTGTGTAAAAGCACACAACAACTTCTATTAGCACAAAGCCAAATTTTAATTGTTTTATTTTTATCAAATTTTTTCGGCTGATATTGATACTTGATGTTGTTTTTGTAATTTTTGGTTTAAGTGAAATTGATAACAATGAAGATGATGATTCAGTTGGTTTTGACGATGAAGATGATGATAAGTAATTTATTGATTTTGAAGAAGAAAAAGATAATGATGATGTTTCATCAGTTGATATTGAGTCGCACGATTCCATTTAAAAATAATTGTTGTGCTTATTTGTAAATTTGTTATAGGTATAACTAATCGTACTAGAACATTTTTTTTCCTTACTTTATTCATTACATTTTAAGATAAACCTCTATGTAATTAATATAAATCTCTAATAAGATATGTGTGAACTACAGCCATATTTAGATACTGGACTAATTTTATTTTAACATCTTCACAAGAAAGTGAAGGACATTTTTTTATTGAGGGACATTTTTCTTAGGGACATTTTTTCAAGGACAAAAATCTGGAGGACATTTTTTTTCTGAAGACGAAAGTACGAGGACATTTCGTCCGAGGACATTTTTTTTCTGAAGACGAAAGTACGAGGACATTTCGTCCGAGGACATTTTTAAAAGGACATTCTAGACTGTATTCTTTCATTCTTTAATAAGAACTAGTTAGTTGGTTACACATCTAAAATAGCCAGTGTGTATACATAGTCTTTTGGCTTCCATGTGATGTTAGCTTTAGAGTTTAGCAATAGATAGTGTCTAAAAGAGGTCGAAAACAGATCGTAGAGTTATTTCCTCTTCTCATGCTTAAATTTCTGGTTTTCATAGTACCTAAATGGCATTGATGTAAGGTGCTCCAAATGCAAAAATGCAGCAAAAAATTTTTCTTTTTTATTTACACATGGTTTGATAGAGCTCGTCGAGCTGATTCCGAATATCTACTTTTTATTGTGTTTTGGTCAAGTTTTGGGGCTAAAACCTTAAAAATACTAAAAAATGCACAAAAAAGTGAACAAAGGACCATTTTCGAAAAAATTCAAAATTTCACCCCTTTGCATTTATTATAATTTACTAAAGCTATTTTATTTGGATTCAGCACCTCAAAGTGAGTATTATCATGTAAGTTTGAGTGACTTTGAATAAGTTCAAACTTGGTAATCGTTGTCCATAAGATCAATGATGACGAAAAAACAACATAGTGACACCCTTCTCCCGCAAACCTATGTAGTCTTTTGTTTGAAAACTTTTCCTTAATATTCTTACACCAATCGAATCGCCATCTGACGGCGAAGAAAAGTATGCATGGGTTTGAAAAAATTTTGTTTCCTCGCTGAGAAAAGGCCCTATCACTGACTCAGACTTTATAGCATAGAACCCATTTTTAATAGTCATTCCAGTTTTAATCCAAACTTCAGTTTTATCGTAACAAATAGGTTAGAAATTGTGCACAATTCGATAAACTTGATTTAACTATCATTTTGTGTTAGTTTTAAAGCGATTCAAAAACTCACTTAAAAAAATTTCAGGCTGTGCATTTCTTAGTCATGTGGTTTAGCTTTCGTGTAAACCGCACGTTTATCTTCTCCGGCACGTAGAGCCGAATGCACTTCGGAGAAGTAGAATCATAATTGTTTTCAATATATTGAAGTTTTATCATTTTTTTAAATTTTTTTTGAATTGCGCAATTTTTATAATTTTTTTCTAGTTTTTTTTGGAATTATAAGTTTTTTTTCGACTTTGGAGGTTTTATAGTATTCTTTCAATTTTGAAAATTTTCATAATTTTTTTTATCTTTTTCGTTTTCAGGGTTTTAGAGAATGCAATATGATAGAAGGTTTGTTTAAGAGAGTTTTGAATTACTTATTCTTCGATGTGAAGTGACTTCGTGCTTGCATAGCCCGCTAAAAAAAAACGTGAGTACCTCACCATAAGACTTACCTTGGTTGTAAGCGTTTAGAGATCGCCAGAATCGTCGAAAGAGCTTCAATTGAATCTGTTTGTGAACAAAGTTCACTCGAGATTCTGGAATAAGCCGCATCATGGTGGGAAATGTTTGATCAGTCATTTTCCTCACAAACTGCTTCATGTGGCACCACAAGTCCTCAATGGCATTTAACTCACAGTGAAATTTAGGCACAAAGATCACTTTTACGTTGTACTTATGTGCCAGCTTCTCTAGCTTCGAGACGTTTTGAAAAGCTGGATGATTTGCCAGAAGTGTGCGAAGTTCTGGTAGCTTCATTGAAGAATGGACAGATACTTTGAGCTCCTTTGCCAATTCGAGTAACCCTTTGGATTTTCCTCGATGCTCGCCCCGATCGAAATAGCACGACACAGAGACACCATGACCTTGATGGTCGAGATATTCAAGAGCATGAACCGGGCATCTTGTACCAATCCCTTTTCCAAAACTGTCTACGTTGTATTCTCGAGCCGAATGTGTCCTGGCATTATCGACAACGACTTCAATTTCGTGACCTTTGTATTCTTCCTTAAACTGAAGAAGTTGGAATAAGCGTTCAAATTGAGACAAAATTGTTTCATTGTCGAAGTAGTCTTGCTCGCCAACGTTGATTCCAGCCGTTGCTGAATAGCCATCGTAGCTTATCTCACTAGAATCAGACAAAAGACTTGGATAACATCTTGTTGCCTGATTGTATTCTTTTTCCGAAAGGGAAAAGAAAGGTCCTGAAGGATGTTGAACCAAAAAATCGCTAATCATATGACTGCGGCCACGGCCCTTGGAAAAAAACGGAGTATGTTCTTCCACTGTCCATCGCTTCGCTGACACTTCGCCACTTTTGAACGTCGATTCGTCATGAACTAAAATAAAAAAATGTTGTGTTAGTATTTCTCAGAACTAGTTCTCCATTTATTGATACTTACAGATCAAAATGCATGGCTTTCCAGTTGGTATATTCCACATTGGCTGTTCACCCTCTGATATGCTATAGTATCGATCTTTCCGTGATAAAAAATAAGATACAAATTTTTTGCGGTGTTTAACAACGTCATCTCGCTCATGTCCCTCAAAATAAGGGCGTTGGCTATTCGGTTGAAACTTGGCACCCCAACGTCTAAGATCGAGACGACAACTTTCAGAAGAGCGAACTAAAGTATCATTGATTTTAGAAGCTTGAGTGAGTTCATAAAACCTTTTATCCAGATATTTAGCCAAGTCAATAGCAGAAAAATCTGCTGATTTTTTAGAGCAAGATTCAATTACGAAAACTTTTGCTTCAGTTTCAAGTTCTGGAAAGAGATCGTAGAAGCCATCGCTGTGTTTACCATCTCGTCCATCATCTTCAAATGCATTGAAATCACCTGTCAAGAAGCTTTTTGTCCATTTATGAGCAACCCTGCACTGATTACCATCAATGTCATGAAGAAGAGCATCAATGGCTCGCCATGTATGGCCAAAATGACGTAGAACCATATATAGAAGTACAGAAAGTTTACGTGAACCACACCCACGCTTGCACAATTCAAACACATCACCAATACTTGGCAGATCCATTTTATCCTTGAAGTCCATTCCATCAGCCACATCATCATCTTCTTCTTGTTCACCATATTCTTGTTTACCATCTTCTATATCCATAGGTGTTATACTATCATATTCTTTTTCAAACGATAAGAGGTGATCTTGGCTATGATGTCGACCCAATGCAGCAGCTTGAGCGTGAGCTTGTCTTCGAGATTTTGGAGGCATGTTCAATAGAACTGAATTAACGTAGTGAAAGCAAAACAAAAACGTAGTTGAAAATCTGATACCACTTATAATAGAGCCTTTGATAAAACAAAAAATACCAAGATTATGCGATCTTTTAAAAGTCTCGGTTTTTTTAGCAGATTTTTGAATCGCTTTAAAACTAACACAAAATGATAGTTAAATCAAGTTTATCGAATTGNACACAGCTGAAGAAGGGTTGACTTTCTCTGCTATCATTGATAATCATCAGGCATTGCCTCGTATCGGTTCACATGACCAATTCTTTTTATGCCAATGTATACGGGCCTTCAAAAGATGTGTACGGCAATAGTTGCGCACGAAATAAAAGGTGCATGTTTATACTCCGGTAGATAATACAGATTTAGAGAAGTACCAAGAACAACGAAATATTTATTTTATTTTCAAAATCATAAAAATAACAACTAAATAAGTCAACCAAGCATGAAAAATGAAGTTTGAGTCATTATTACTCTATAGATACAAGTAAATTTATTAGTGTTTATATCTGTAAGAATGGATGTGGATGCAAGTGCGAGCGTGGGAATTGTCTTCTCTTCATCCACATCCACCCTAGTATAATCATTTGTTCACAGTAACAAGTTTTCTCTCAGGGGCAAACGATCCGTGCGCATCTTTCGAGATCCCGATTTACCCATATGAATTGTTTGATAACTGAGATGACGTAATTACATCAGTAATCGATTAAAAATTTAAAAAATCGATTTAAATCAATCGTATGCATCATTTTGCCTTTTTTTAAATATTATACATTTGTTTACAGAGAGTACTTTCGAAATCGGTATCCTCACAGATTGTGCTCATATCACTTATGCTTCCTGCTTATGACAATAATCCATTTCACTTTCTTATTACTTCTGAAAATCGATTAAACATGATTCATGTTTCCGATGAACTTGCTATTCATTAAAAGCAATTTTAATCGAATCATTTACTCTAAATTATGTTCCAGAAAAAACACTTATACGCTTCATTATCACATATATCGTGTTTGTTCTAGAACTTCTATTAATTCATATCATTTGGTTCTGTATGAATCTTACTGATACGCTTCGACATCTTGACAATCAATTGAATAGATTAAGATCGATTAAAGATTAATATTAAAATAGAACTCTAGCAATTATTTATGATCAAATCAAACTTCCTCAATCGGATTTTCTGGAAAAAGTGGGAGGTTCGCTCAAATGCAACTAACAGGATTTAGATAAACCTTTCAGCATGAAATAACGTTCTTTACATGTTCTTACTCTACCCGCATTAAAAGAAAATGCAGCATGCGCACGACTATTTCCTCTTTTATGTATTCAATGACCTAAATTCTTCCGATCAGAAGGAAATGAATATTAGCTCTTAATGTTTTATTAGAGCAAACAAAAGCAAAAAAAAAGAATAATTAACATCACTTGGTCGCTGGATATAACCGAAACAGAATTACTCTTAAGAACATCATTATTTGAGTGACGAACATGATTGACGGACGACATGTGGAATATTGGTCGGTGATTGTTCAAATATCGATAGATCTCATCAATCTCATTGAACAATTAGCTATTTTTTTCATCGTGAAACAAGAATCCAACGATAATAAATATGAACAACATCTGTTCTTCTTTGTTCTTCTCGCAATCGGTCTTCTTTCATGTATTTCATCAGCTATTTCACCGCTTTATTTACAAACAATTGGCTTAATTTCTATCGAGTTTGGCGAACTATTGGCCTATCTCTTTCTTCTAAAACGTTCGTTCAAAGTCATTCTTGTGGCATTCATTTTATTTGGTGTAGAATTTATTTTAATCATCACTAATATGATTCTCGAGTATTGTTCGACCGAAAAGAAAGAGGATCTTGGTGTCTTTGGAAAATCAGCATGGGGTCGAATCAAATACGTTGGTATTCGTCTAATTATGTACCTGATTTTCAATGCATTTTCGATACTATTCCTCTTCCTCAAGGATAATTCGAGATTCCATCGTACATTTTACGAGATTCTTATTCTACTAACTTTTTATTTTCCAGGTATTGCTTTAGGTCCTGCATTGGAGTCAACGACAAGATTCAAATATGAATACGAGCAGGATCGTGTTCCTCGTATAACTATTCTTCTTGTTTGGAGTCTATTCTGTGCTACTCTTTATTTTATTATGGATTGCCTGCCTCTCTCAATCACTGGTATTGTGTTTGCAACGCAAGAGTTACAAGAGACGACTCAACAGTATGGCTATGATTTTGTCGTATACATTGCGTCATTGGGTTTGTTCTCGATTGCGATTCTCTTCTTTCCTCCTTTCATGCGTTGGTGGTATCGATCAACCTTTCAAAAATTTAGAACTATGCGAGTCGATGCAAAGAAAAAATTAGAACAGTCAAAACACGTTACTTATACGGATCATTGTCTTGCCACAAGTAACGGGATACATGGATTTACTTGCAACTACGTGAACTTTGCCTAAAATCTCGAATATTGTTTTTCTGAAAAAAAAATCGGTTCAAATAAATAATTACACGCGTATATATTAATTCTTGTCAGGTGTCTGGAAAAAAATGAGAAAAGAAGGGTCAAAACGTTTTCTTGCTCTTCGGATTGCACAGTTTAAAAAAGAGAAATCCAAAGATGTTTCGGCACAACTGAATGTTTTACTTTATCAAATTCTTTTAAATAAAGAGATGAAGGCACAATTGCAAATATTTCAGGAGGCTCGCGATGAGATTATCGTCATCGATTTTAACGTGCATGAATTTTCTTTCGCCGATGTGACATGGATAAAGATAGGTTGAAGACGACGATGATCATCGCGCTTTTGAACTGCGATAGTAATCATCAGAAATCACCTGGCATCTAGGACACCGAAGAAAATATAAATGTTTCTTCGTGATCATTCAATATATCATTCGACATGAATTTCGAAGCAAGAGCAATGGGAACACACTTTTGTTCGCTTTATACGACATCCGACATCCAAATCAAGTGAAATACGGTTATCTTATCATGGTTTTGGTCTTATCTGTTTGCCTTTAACTTCTTGTGTGTGTGTGCGAGCCTTTTCTTCACACGGACACCCCTTCAATAAGATAGTAAAAGATTTAAAACGACTTTTTCATCTTTAATTGAATGAATAAGTGTTATACATTTAGAAGAATTATCTTGAACATGTGAATCCTCATGTACAGCTTCAAGGAACATTTCACATAAGTTGACTGTTAACTCACCTATAGGGATAGATAGAATTGTGAAGCAAGCAGCACGTTGTGGAAAATGATGTTGTTTACTCGTATAAAAACAATGCGCGTTTCAAATTGTCGTCATCACGCCAATCTTTGATAAAAGCGCATAGTACAGTTGGTATATGTACGGCGATTAGACTAGCAATTTTTACACATGCTTTAATTCTACCCAACCTATACGATGAAGAGCATTGTCCTAAAATAATCCAAAGCTTGTCTCACTGTTTAGACCGATCTATTAACGAAGCGTGTGAAAGAATATTAGTTATTGTTAATGCTTGTGCTTCTGTCAGGATACAATTTTCGAATTGAAATATCTTTGTTGTAATTGATTCATCAATGATAAGTTGACAATTATCTATTTTAATACATTCATGAAAATCATTAGCTAATTTCATAAGCTACAAATTGGAGATAAATAATGAAAGCAATAAATTTTCATGTAGATCAATATTAAAATATTTCTTCAGCAAAGAAGATTTATTATGTATTGTTCTGTTTTAGGTCTTGTAAACTGTAAGTGAAACAATTCATAATCGACGAAAACGTGTAAGTCAATTGCATGTATGGTAGCAATGCTTCAATAACTACTTGCTGATCTCATTGATCCGTATTGACAAATTTGCGAACCCTAACTTAATTTCTGCATCGACAATTGTTTTATCTGAAATGTCATTGCTTCAACACAGTTCCTTAACAAAATTTTGAATCTAACATCTACCTAAGGGCTAATGAAGGTTTCAGTAAAAACTTTTCTCCCGATTCGGCATTTGATTAGTCCATTCTCGGATCCAAGATTCGCCTAGGCAAATCTGAGATTGGAATGAATCCGGGATTGAACGCTAACACATATTTACAAAGAGCATACTTAAAGACTAAGATTGAGTCATAAGGTAAACGCTTCCATCAGAGTGTTCGTTCAGAGACATTATAAGCGGGGCAGACTGATTAGATTGATTTAGGTATGAGACTAAGAATATAGGACAAGAGTTTAGGCTAAATAGCTTGAAACGTTAGACTGAGAGGATTAATTAGGTATGAGATCACTTTCTAAAAAAATCCGTTTGCCAAAAAACTCAAACACGTTCGGTGACCCATTCGGAGACCTTTAAGGGTTTGTGAGAGGATATTTGGACACTTGTAGCGTTTTCGAAAACACTTTCTTGATTTTCGAGAGGTCTGAAACCATACGATATCCCACACTACCCATTTTAACACTCTTAAAATATTTCGGAATATCTTTTTCGTTGATATCGGAAACCTAGTAGTATTTTCAGAAATCTTTGGGGTATTGTGGAGAATTGACATCGCTAGAAAATTGAGTAGGTATCCGCTTGGATATGCGAAACAACCTTTCAGAGTTTTCGAAGTGTTTCCGCAGAAAATAAACGATTTCTCCCGAATTCTCTATGTTGAAAAAGTATCGTGGGAAACCAAAATTCGTTTTCGAAGTTCTCTTGGATACATCGAAGGTTTCTAGAGTTTCAGATGCCTTCAGAATAGAGTCCGGCGGGTTCGAATAATAAAACTAAAAAAAAATGGTTCCAATTTCAGTTCCTAAAAATTGGAACCGGAACCGTTGATCTAATGTTGGACACCAAGCAACTAATATTACTGCTTTCAGAAATTTCGATGATTCTTTTTTCGAAATGGTTTATATTATTGATTAACAAAAGAGGATTTTTTTGGAAATTCTAGGCGAAAAAGAGTAGGAAAAATTATTTTAATGTAAAATAATTATATGAAACTGCTTATTATATAAAAGCGTGCAAAAACGAATTGCTAGCATCATTTTATGTGTCTTCTTTATGATTATTATAGCCAAAGTTAGCGTCATCTGCAATTGTTTTGAATTTCTTAATCACGGCTATTATTGTATCTATACAGAGCTCTTGATTACAAGGCGAAATTGTACACGATGAGTTTTTACATACTGATGGCATCAGCATATGAAATCTTTAGAAAAAGTGCGAGGATAATATTAGCGTGCCAAAAGAGTCACGAAATTTCATTTTTTTAGATTGCGTCAACTCTATCTTCTTAATAATAAAATCAAGCACTGTGAAATTTTTATCATACATACAGACTATTTAGATCTTCTATCATTAAAAATTTTATTGATTTTCTTTCACCCACGACTGAGTTATTCTTAAAATACAGATTATTATGGAATTTCAAAAATGGAAACTTTTTTGAGGGTGACCTAATAGTTTAGCATTTTACTATGAAACAAAGTGATTTCCAAATAAATGTTCTACATAAAAATTGGTAAGATGTTCACATACTTTCAGAATATTGGCTCATTTCTTAACAAACAGAACTGTATCGAACGGAAAAACTAAAAATACTACTCATTACGAAAATTTATCCTTTTTTTACGTGTTAATAGAGATTTTAGAATTTAAAAAATCATACTATAATAATAGAAAGCCATTTTTTCTCATCCTCGAGAAATATAGAGAAAGTTTTTATTATTCACGTAATTCACTTCTATTGTCTTAAGGAAATCATGTTGAACCTTCTGTCCATCTTTCAACAAAAATGCAAATGTAACAATTTACAAAGTTATACTTTTCCATGAAATCAGTTGATTAGTCTAATTTTGAGATTGATGATGTTAGGAAAATGGAACTTATTGCCACTTCCTAGTTAATTAATTAACGATTCACAACATGCCTGATAATGTATCGATAGTCTAGCTTCGATTGCAGAGACAGTTTTCTATATTTTTTGTAAGCTTGAACCCTTATGAAAGCGTTATCAATCAGTAGTTTTGCGCATATATAGATGCTCCTTCCTACTATAAGTAGAAGTGAATAAGTTATTTTTTTAGCATTTTGCGTTACAAGCAGGATTCTGTGTAGTGAATGGATGAAAAGTTTTTAATTGAGAAATCATAGAACAATAAAGAAACGTAGATGTTACAGACGGCCAAAAACATTTTTGGTTCGAACGGTTCCCGTTCTATTCTCTGTTTTTCATGGCTCCGGTTCAGGGTAGAAGAAGCTGAAAAAAACAGTTCCAATTTTGATTCTCGGTTCCCAGTTTTTTGGAACTGCCGGGCTCTAACTGAGGATCACTGAAACACTGACGTTCAGTACAATGATTACACCGACATCGGCCTTCAGTGGAACACTAAGGCACTGCTTCTGTCAAAGTATGCGTCTTTGGTAATTTTAATTGTAGCCATCAAAAGAAAATAGTGAAGTGAGCAACCCTATCTTTACCAAAGATATCGTAAACTTGGACAATCTGTAATTTTAAATAATCCAACCAACTTTGATGGATTGCATCACTCCTTATTTTACTTGTAATGCATAATAACCGTCTTCCAATGTAGCGACATCGAGCTATATAGGGTGTCCAGTAAGTAACTCCACAAAGAAAAAGTTGAATATCTTCATTACAACTCGACCAAACGGGCTCATTTTTTTACCAAGGATAGAGGNCACATACTGAAGCTGAAAATAACCTTTCAGAGCTCCATGAGCAGACAAAACAGTCGATCAGCCGACGTTATTGAAAGTTCAGCATACTCTCTCTAATGCAAGATATATGAAATTTTTATTACTCTTTCTGATTTCCTTCAAGTTTTGTATTGGAAACAGCATCAGAATCTTTTTGATATTCATATTCTTGTAGAGCTCTATCGAACTATATAAAAATACCTAGAAAACGATGTTTTCCTTCAGACGTTAGAAGCATATTTTGTTTTTGCAAAAACGCAACGTGTTAAATGCTTAGTCATCATGAATAAAATGATCATAACTTTTCATAACTACGACATAATTTCAACCATTTTTTTCAGATAATAGCTCTTCTCATTCTCTACAAAACTGTATATTTCAATCAACTATCTATATATGTATTCATATAGATAACATCCATTTACAGAGAGGGGTCGAAACTTATGGACCACCCTTTAGCACTGATTATATTTTTCACCTTAATGGAATAAAAAAATAAATTGATAGGAATAAAATGGATGTAACTGAAAGTATGAACAAGATTACAAAATCGAATAAATACTTTGTATAATCAATATATAATGATTATCTCATTTCAGCGTTTGATCTTTTCAATGGTTTGGTTTTACAATATTTTTCTACCAAATTGAATAGAAAATATGTAAATACTGTAAAAATCTATTTTTACTGTATTCTAAAAATAATTCTCATGAAAAAACATTCGAAACGATGACATGCTCTATTTTTGGATGAAATGGGTTGATTTTGCACACCATGCTTAGATTTTGATTTGTTATTATTTTTTGTTCTTCAAATAGATTTTTTCTTATTGATCGCATAAAACTGACTATGAAAAACTGTACTTACCATTGTTCACATAAAACATGATGAACAAAGATTTGATGCTACGTCAAATTGCAGATCTATCAAGTTTTATTTTTCGCTTGAAAGATAAAAATCTTATTTGTAGGGAATTATAATAAGCATTTCTTTGAGAAAAAGATTATGAAGTGGCAAAAATCTGCACGTATTTAGAGGCTTGCATATCGTGATTTCAATAGATGAGCGAAATGAATGTAATATTCAGATTCAGTATTAAAAACTGGATCTAATAGAAAAAAGGATTGAGGGGGCGCACAGACACGTATTTGATTAAAAATTTTTTTTCGTTAAAACATATGTTATTCAACTCTATTTTTCCATCAAGATTATTTTTCGAAAACTGAAAATAAATTGTTTGGAATATTTGACATACTCTCTATCCAATCATGTACAAAAAAAATAATCTACTTTTTCTTTTATTAATGACTGATAAGCCTATAAGAATAGGCATAGATCGATTTTTATTATTGTTTATTTCCGTAAGAAAATCCCAAAATAGTTATATGATTCGAGATAAGCATGATAAATATAGCCCATCCTATTGCTCCTCCAATACTAATTAAAATATTGAATACTAATGCCAATTTACTCATTGTTTGAGCTCCACTTAAATTATTAATACTTTTGTCATTTCGGCAAACAATCGAAAAAACCAATGGTATAATACCAAAAAAACCCCAACCACAAAATAGATTGATAATAGACCATGGTAAATAATCATTTATATTAGATATATCAGTATTGATTATTAATGGTTGAACAGGAGATACAGAAGGATAAGGTGGCGGTGGCGATATCAAATCTTTTTCAGAAGACATTTTTCGACGGCCTTTTTTCTTCTTGAATGCTTAATATTATATATATTTTTTTAATTTGGATTTGTTTTTTTTTTTTTTTTGTATGAGAAAATTAACATATGTTTTATCTTTAAAATTATTGATTTATTCTGAATCATATGAAGTAAGTTTAATGGAGATAATTTTATAATAGAAAAAAAGAAAAAGAAAAGAAGAAGAACAATGATTATTCATTTATTATTCGATGGAAATCTACTCAATCGTTTTTTAACATCTTGTTTTTTTTCATAATCTTGTTTAAATCTTCGTGCTGGATAACTTGGTTGAACTTGACTTATTTGTTTTTGAAGTCGATGAAATTCATTTTCATGTTGAACTTTTTCACGTTGTCGTTGTACAATATTCAAACTGAACACGAAAAAAAAAATAATAATTCATTAATAAAAGAAGAAAAATTATCTTAAAATATACTTATACCTATGAACAACATAATTATTGTGAGTATCAACAAGTGATTCAGTTTTTCTCATTCTCCTACGAAGACGTTCATTTTCTTGTTTTATCATTGATAATTCATATTCTCTTGTCTATTATAAATACATAGATAATATAAAAGACATTAATCAATTAACTAACCTGCTTATGTCTAAAACTTTGCGATAAATGAAATCGTGTCGTAGATTCTGATAGATTCAATACACTACGTGCATTTTTTATCTAACAATATATATGTACATATTATAATATTATTAAATAAATATAAAAACTGAAAATTTACATGATTTTCATGATCTGCTTGTTCTTTGAGTAAAAGTTTATGTCCAAGATATTTATTTGCAACAGGCAAAACATTCGGATAAGAACGATACATGATTTTAATCACTTGTATAAAACGAAAAAAAAGAAAAGAAAATGATTATTGAAAAAACAAACAAAAAAAAAAACAAGAATTCAAAAAAAAAGAGAAAGAGAATCAATTAGAAGAAAAATAACACTAACTATTGTTATAAGGAGATGATGATAAGAAAAAAAAATAATAAATCAATGAGCAGTATTGTTTTAATCATAATACGTAATAGAGAACAGCATTGCATCTATTCAATAGATGTGATATAAATGAAATATATCGTATAGTAAATATACCAACACTTAAAAATAATGACAGAAACGTATTCTATTGAAATTTCTTTTTTTGTTTTGAAATAATTTCATCGATGTTTGTATGATGAAGACTTATTGATGAAAGCTTTCTTTGAATACGAATTTCATAGATATAAAGTTTTTAATTACTACACAGAACGAATGAAATTCTCTGTTTCGAATAAAGAGAAGTAATAATTTTCTTTTAAAATAATATATTCAAAGTGGCTCATAAATAATTAGACGATAAAACAAAAAAAGTTCATAATCTCAACTCTGCTTTAATCAACTGAGTTGTTTTTTCTTGATGATAGAGGATTTGTCAAAGTTTTTAAACAATGTTCTATAGGCTCTTGACCTCAAAGAAACATAGTTTATGTGTAAATAAAGATTGACCTCTATCGAACTATTTCTATATGAGCTTCGAATACATAAGAACTCACATGTCTTCTTTAGTCTCCTCATATTAATATACATTATGCAATGTGTAACATCATTAGAAGACGATAGTTCTTTTTCAATGATAATCGATTGTCATCAAACATTGTCTTTTTTATTTCTATATTTCGAACAAAATTTTTTCTTTTTTTACGGAAGCTCTAATTTGTTTGCATTGCTGCTGTTCACTCGTTATTTTTCTTAATGAGGACTATCAAAGATCTTGATAATGTTCATTTTACCTTATATCTGTTAGGAAATAGAAGGACTTTAGTATCAACTAAAAGAATATTAACTTTTCCTCGCACTCTAATAATAAACTTCACTTTTCAATTTCTCAGCGGAATTTTGTTTTTATTTAATATACTTAAGATGCATTTCACTACCTTCACGAGTTATTTTTCTGTGATTAGAAGGAGTTTTTCCTTGTCAATGGAGTAAAATCTAATGTAAAGTTACTAATCATTTGATCTTCTTAAATAAATATGAACAATTTGAAACACTAAGTAATTCTCTGTGGTTGTACGAATGAGGAGAGAAAAAGAAACTAAATAGTTTCATGAAATTATTCTCGTTAAATTTTTTGTTTGTTTTTGCATTTATTATGAAAATGGAGAAATACTAAAAATAAATTTATTATTTGTTATGAGATAAGATATTTTTGTTTATAATATATCGAACGAGAAACTATGCAAATAAATCAATTTGATTTTACACGAAGAATAATTACAATCAAATATTTAACTTCATATTTCTAATAGAATTGTAATCTGTTTTAATTTTATTATTCAAGACAAAAAAAAAAATATTCGTTCATATCATTTCTATGACAATTTAAAAAAATAAAAATATCTTTTCTTGATAAACTGATATCGTTTACTATGATTATTTATAAATTATGAGATTTCGAAATATTTATTTGTATCAAAAGTCAGGCATAAATAATATTACCATCAAATATTTCTGCTTTAATTTATTGAAATGGAAACATTTTTTGCTTAGTAACATATAAGTTTATTAATTGATAGGAATAATCAAAATAAACCCTATTATTATTGTTAATCTGGTTAAAGGAATTTGAGCTGTTTTCAACAAAGAAAAAAATTCATGTCCATCACTTAGCAATAATTTTCATTTGTCACCTAAGAGAATAAAAAGAAGAAATGAAAAAAAAAATTTCTGAATAAAATAATATTGATTGCATTGAGTCAATACTCAGGGATTTGGTTATTTCAAAGGTAGCACTTGAAATATTTCAGATTTTCAAGTGTCGAACACTTGCCATTTTAAAACGAATTTGATAGTCTTTGAAAATTTGTTTTTATTTTCTTAGGTGATAAATGAAAATTATCTTTGAATGATAGACATGAACTTTTCTCAGTTAAGAACTACACAAATTTCTGTACTGAGATGAGATCAAAAATAAAAGTAGCATTTATTTTGGTTATTTCTATGAGAAAAAAAAACAAATTTGTGTCGTTCAGGAAAAAAATGATTCTATTTCAATAAATTAAAGACCTATACCGAGGAACCAACAGTATATCAGACAAGTAATGCCCGTTTAACGCTGATAGAGCGCGTATTATATCGTACGATATGTCGATGGTAAGCCAAAGATAGTTTCTCGATTCAAATGATACGGGATACCTGTCTTACCGATGTAAAGGACATCTCAGTATCTACCCTTATGCATGCAGTCATTAGAGAGGGTGAGGATGTGATTAACTTTAATTAATCTACGTTTCCCCTCAATCTCGTCATTGTGATTGTTTCGAGCAATCTTTTCGAAAGAATTATTTTTAAAACTCAGAAAGAAATAAACATTCAATGCTTAAGAGAACTCTCTGTAAAATACATTAGTCTTGCTTAGAGAAGAATTTAAAAGAGAAAAAATAGCAATGAAAAATCGACATATCTATGCATTGATGGGTTTCGTAGACTGAATTTTCAAAAAGCAGTCTATTCACATTGGTAGTCATTCGGCAATTTCAAAATTAATTTGGTAATAGTGCTCTAGTTAGAACAAAGTTGCTATCATCGATGATGTTCAGATGACATATTGGACATGTTCATGAATGAACGGTAGTTGCTGGTGGCGACCTGAAAAATGAAAATCACTAATGAAACATGTTCATCTGATATTTCAATCAACGTACCATTTTTGGAGACATTCATCACAAAACTAATGTGTGTATGTGATAGCGCAAGATTCGAAGAGTCATTCATACAGATGCAGTATTTATTGGCATGAGACTGCATGCACAATCTAGACAATGAACATTAGTTGATAGAAGGAAAACACAGTTGATATAACTGTTACAATTTCGCTATAAAAAATGACGATTCAATCAGTTCAAAGTTGGAAGTGTGAAGGTGTATTGATGTATTTGAAATGTACTGCTTTAATGCAAGTATCTGTTGCGTCAATGATTCATGTAACGAGAGAAATTGATATAAATTCAAGATGATCTCATTTGCAATACTTTGATCGGACTTTAAAATCTATTGTGAAGAAAAGTCTGAATCAAACAGTAGAAGAAAGCGAGAGTAACCTATTCGACGACATTGAATTTTCACCAGAGGATACCAAAATATGTTCCTGTCAATTTCCGGTATCAAGGTGAATCGAAGCAAATACGGTTCGTCTTTGGTGAAGACTTCCAAGACTTGATTGAATTGATCCAATAGAGCCAAGAATCCTTTGTAGTTAAGTGGTAGAGGATCTATCATCTTCAAAATTGTTGGAAGCAGGTCTAGTAGATCGGGGCGATCTTCCATAATAGTTGTTTCGCAGTCAGTTGAATCATCTTTAACACTGGACTTTTTCTTGTTGCTTGAGCAGGACATAATCAAACTTGGCTGTTCGCTTTGAAAAATCAATAGAGAAGAGAAAAGTACGAGGAATTAAAATTTAACCAATACTGCTGTGAGGGTAGCATAATTTCCATGCGGTAAGATGAGATGAGAGAGGATTGAGGGGTTCGAACATTTTTTATGGAAGATAAGTGAGCAAAACACATCAGCAAAACGCTTGAACTTCACTGGCATAAATGATCATTTCCCAAGATCTAGACTTATTCATTATTCACAACCGTGCGGGACTTAATCATGCTTAATTATCTGGTCGTTTAGAAAAGAACGACATCTTGGCAGATCGGCCAGGCAAAAATCGATCTCAGATTCCATTGCAATATTTATTATAAGATATCTCTCACAGATGACGTAATGAGGGAAATGAAGACCGCTCAGTATTTTCTCGTTTAAAAGACCTTCGATTGCATTCTCATTAGGTCACAACAAAGACATGTAGGTCAAAGGGTTGTTTTCAAAATGATGACTCATAATTCGCTTACATTTGAATAACTGCTAATCCATCTTGAAAGAAGCGCCAGTGTCTAGTCTGTACATATTTCGCTAGACGTGTCTAAAATTGGTCATGCGTA